AAAGACAGATCGAGTTCGAAGATGAGCATTCTAGCTCAAAAATTGGATTTTTGAAAAATCGAAAACAACAGGTCCCAAAAATGACGTTTTTTAAAAATATTTTTATATGGTGTCCTCAGGGGTAACTCGTCAAAGTAGAGCCCGATGGGCGAAAAGTTTGTCCGTTTTTCTCTAGCTCAAACCGTTGAGGAGCTAGAGGGTGTTTTTGACGAAAATAAGCGAAAAAATGTGCAACCCTGCATGATTAGTCGAAGTGACGGGCGTAGACGGGCCGGAGGCCCGTATCTTTGTGCACATTTTTGCACTACCTGACTGGGGTGTCAGCGCTGCAGGCCAAGGTAGATGTATGCCAGGCGCGTCGCAGCGTAACAGTGTTTCGTGAGGTATCGCGAAGCCTGTTACGCGAGACGTGGTCTGGCGTACATTTACCTTGTCTAATGAGGAAATTTAGTTTATTGTCGTGCTTTTACTTGGATTCAACATTTTCGTCGAGGGGGATGGCTTCCAGCCCGATGGGTTCTTCATCGTCCGATCCGAGCTCATGGTCCTTCTCCCCGTCATCTGTGTTCATGGTCGCATCCGCAGCTTCAGATGCCTCTTGCTCCTGGTCACGTGACTCCGTGGAGCGTGGCCCTTCTTGGTCTGAGCCGGGTTCTTCCTCGACTGAGTCGCGTTCGGACAGTTCGGAGCTGGAGCACTCGGACGGCTCGGAGTCACTCTGCACGTCCAAGTCGTCGTCCACGTCTTCGGACTAGGTTGGCGAAGTTGGCCAACCAGTTGGCAAACCAACCCATCCAACCTTACAAGCAATCGACTTTCGACAAAAAAAAAATATTTGGCTGAGCGATTAGCGAAGCCCATTACTCCACTGACCGGAAAAGTTTCATTCTGTTTGTTTGTTTGTCTGTCTGTCTGTCTGTTTGTTTGTTTGTCTGTCCGCACGATAACTCGAGAAAGAATTGAGCGAGCGATCTGGGAATTTCAGGGTCGTTTTGTATTATACAAGGTAGATGTACGCCAGA